AATAGATACCCTCTATTTGAAGTTCTTATGGGGTAACATCGATCAAACAAGGAAACTCCATCTGAAAGTAAAAAGACTTTGTTCTCTCTTGTAAATCAAGGGGGTTTGGGACTTTGATCAACTGCTTTAATGAACAAATCTCTTTTGGAGAATTGTGTCAGGTGACAATCACTCAATCCTTGGCTTGACCTTCAAACTTAAGTTTGTTAATCTCAATTCTCAATCTAGCCTTATAACTCTTATTGGATGTGGAAAGGGATATATATATGTTCCTTTGCTGATCTCATCCTCCCAAAACTCTCTTGGCAAGTTGGCTTCGGTCATAATATTTCTCTACATCATTAGTTATGGTACGAGTCAAACTCTCTTACTCTTTTGACTAACCAAAATACTTGACACTACTCCTCTTACTGTAAATGACCTACTTCTTAATCCATCTGTGGGTTGGTCTGGGAAGCTAGGAATGGAACAAGCAGCTTATTGCTTCAATTTATGATCATAGTATTTCTAAGTTAATCTTCAAAATACCATTACCCTTCACTCAATCACATATAAGATAGTTTGGTTTATTTGTAGCACAAGTTCTAGAGATATTCTGTTAACAAAGGCCATGATTTCCTCTCTTCCAGTCATAATAATGATTCTATTCTCTTGAAATTTTCATATTGGAAAGAGTTTTGGAAACTGCCTTTGCCTTTCAAACACACATTATTTGTGTGGAAAATTCTAAATAAGGCTCTCCCAACTATTGATATCTTAAGAGAGCATCACCTTGATAACAACAATCTATGCACTTTTGGTTGTGACAATAAAGAAACACTTGATTACCTTTTTGCTAGCTACGGGTTGACTAGAGCTGTATGGTATGGATCAATACCACATACTTTCAAGATTCTTCTATTGTTAACTAGTTGCTCCGGTTAAGGATAGTGACTTTGATGAGATGAAACAAATCTTTGTTCTCCTTAGCATGGTTTGGTTCCAACGTAACAACAACATTTTCCATGGTGTTCAACCAGATGAAGAGAAGTTTTTGAAAGAATTTTGAAGCCAATGCCATATTATTACAAATATTTGGAAATGAAATCTGTCATCGATTCCTAATTTTGGGCCTCTTATGTATTCTCCTGACAGTTATTTAGAGGTTTGGTCTATCTGGATGTACAAACACAAGCAGCGGAAGCAGGTATTTTGCTAAGTGTTTATCTGCCAAATGCTTTTTCACTTCTATGTCTAAGATATCATGTGGGTTACTAATCATTGTTATGATTATGGGCTGTCTTTGGATCTTGTGCACATAAACTGTGCTCGAAAAGATTTTATATCTGCTAGATTTATAAGGTAGCAATTCTGCCAATGTTATTGTCCAAGATATTCAAGTCTTATAGGCTAAAATTTACGAGTTAGGCATTCAAATGTGGTTTTTGACGAGATGTTTTTTATGTATATAGTTTTTCTCTTTGGTTTTTCAATTCCACTTTAAAGTTTTTTTAGTTCTACTTTTAAAGTTATAACATTTTATTGTAATTATTTCTTTTAATATATACTTGACCTTTTAAAAAGAAACAAGCGAATAAAACTTAGAATGAAGATAATGTTCTTTTTTGGAGGCCCTCCTTTGATAGTACCTTCTCTATTAAATTTGCCTACAAAACTCTAGAGTCTAGAAAGGATCAAAATCACTTTGATATCTAGTCCAAGGTTTAGAGATGGCCCACCTATGAAAAAATTAAATATTTTTTTCTAAAAAGCTGTTTGGAATCGTCTCCAAACAAACTACACGAATACTAATAGGAATGGCCTGCAACAACATTCTTGTCTCATGGTTTGTAACTCCATTGACTTTTCTATATATATTCTGTGTGATTATAAGGAAGCTAAAGAGGTATGAACAAGTTTAATAAATCCTACAAAAATTATTACTTTTTTCTCTCTTAATGTGCAAGATTGGATAACGTGAAATGCCAAGAACGAAGCAGGCAATTCGATTACAAGAAGAATTCCTTGGTAGAAATTATTTGCTCAAGCATGTTGGAATATTTGGAAACTTAGATGTGGGAAGATATTCTTTGAAGAGGATACTCTTAAAAGCAACATTGGCTTCACATGTACCCAACGGATAATCAACAACCTTAGGCTCCGATCCAAGATCAACCAATTAAACAAAAAAGGCAATAGATTGAAAATTAAATGGAATCCCCCTGAACCTAATTAGGTAAGACTCAACATTGATAGCTCAGTCAATATTAATGGGGCTGCTACCTGTGAGGGCATAATCAGAGATGACAAAAGAAATTGGATTAATAAATTTTCTAAGAACCTTGGGTACTACCTAGAACAATAGTTAAACTTTTGAAAATTTTAGAAGGTCTTAATCTTTATTGAAATGAAAAGTTATCTAAAACTCTACTGTAATTCCATAGGCTTTATCTCTTATTAATAATAACTGGTGCAATAACCATTCTCTCTTTGCAATCATAAAAAATATCAGGGATTTCATCATAAGAGATTGGGTGGTTACCTTTGACCATGTCTTTAGGAAAGTTAATCAATGCGCTGATTTTCTTGCTCATATGATTCTACATCAACATTTTGATATTTGTATTTTTATAACCCACCCCCCGATTATATTAGCCTTATGGCTATAGATATGATTAGATATTAGTCTCTTACACGGTTCTAGAATGATTTAATGAGAATTTTAGGGTGTTTGACAATAGGGTTACCTTTTTGTTCTTACTTTTTACTTTATTGAAAAATAAATGAGTGAAATTGTGGAGCAAATAGGCTCATTAATATTTATTTGGGCAAGTTTTACATCTAAAAAATAAGTTTTTGGAAAAATACATGAAAAATAAATGTTAATGATAAGCTCATGTTAGAGATAAGATGATATGTTTCTAACCATTGTCCCTCTTATTTTTATAAATTAAATGCATTTTTCACTAAATCTTTTCTAAATCTTGTTAATTTTTTTTAAATTGTCTAGATTTTTTAAATTTTAAAAATACATGCGAACATCATCTAAACAATAAACATACAAAAAAAATCCATATTTCACTAAAGCATGTAATTCCTATAACTTAAAAAGAAAAAATATATTTTATAATTTTCTCTAACATGTAGAGTATTAAATAGTTGTAAATATTATTAATAATTTCTACTCGTTTTAAAAATAAAAAGTCATCATTATACTTTTGTATTCTTTACTTAACTAATCTTAATTCTACGTAATAGACAAAATCCATGTATGATAAATACAAGAGAGACTCTCACATATGGCCCCTGTAATTGCATTGGCCCCTACATGCAAATTTTCATGCCCTGAGAGGGAGTCCTAAGTGAAATTCTTCCGGAAAGATATTAGAATAGAAAATTATAATTTAATAGAAGTTACATTAAAGGTCATGATACATAAATATAAAGTGACAAATATTTACCATCGAATTCTATTACAATAAATCATTCCCATTTCAAATAATTACGTCTATAGTAATCTTTTTGGTGAAAAATTATTGTCATTATGTGATGAACACTATGAGCATGTTCGATTTTTGGATGCTCAAACTTTAGTTGGGTTGTTAAAGGCTCATTACAAGATTAAAAATCGTGTTTGAATAAAAAAATTAATTAAAAAGATTTTGAGGAGAAAAGTTGATTCAAACTAAAGCCACTTTAATTGAAAAGAGTTTTGAGGAGAAAAGTTCATTCATGCTGAAGCTACTTCTTTTTTTTTTTTTTTTAGTGGAAATGAGAATTCATTCAACCAAAAAAAGAAGGCTGTACAAGGAGAAACCTGCTAAAAAAAAAAAAAAGGTAAACCAGATTCCAACAAAATTAAACAATTAGAGGATTAAAATCTAAGCCTAGGATGCTGGAGCTAATTTAATAAGATTCTAAATAGAGACTCCAAATAATAAAATTATGTTGGACATTTTATGCAATTTTAAATTTTATGTTTGTCTTTACTTTTTTAATTCATTCTATTTTTCATCATTTTCATCAACAAAGGCTTCTTAATATTTTTCTAAATTTATTTTTGTATTAATTAACGTGAGCATGAGAAATATAACAAAAGTAAATACTTCAACTCACCCTTCATTGAAAGGGATCCAAGGGGGAAAAAACCATGTCCTTTTTTAGTAAAAGAGTAAGAGGAAAAAAAAAAAGGACATGTTAATTTTTCAAGTAAAAAAATAATTATTTTTATTAATATATGAAATATGATTTACAATGGTTTACTCTCTCCATCCTAAATTATAGAGCCTTTATCACAAAATTTAAGATGTTTTGAGTATATTAATATTTTATTAAATATATCAATTTTAATATCACTTTTTTTCTCGTTAATTTCTATCGATTTTTTTTGAATATATTAAATTATAAGTTTTTTTAAAAAATTTTATTTTTATTTTAAGAGATAAAATTATTAAATATATTTAATGATATTTATTGTTATGTGAAATTTGATTTAAGAGAGTTTTATAATTTGAGACAAAGCATACTCTAGAGGAGCTGTAATTAAAAGATATGACATTGACGAAATTCTTATTATTAATTTTATAAAATTAAAGTGCTTTTTGATTTTAATTTTTCCGAACCTGAAGGATATGTATGAGAGACATCTCAGTCTAATGATCCCATGCCAATGGTCCCACACCAGAGGGGTTAAGCGATTCCCTAATCCCTAGCCCATCCCACAGTCCCACTCACATCCGAAGAAACGCAAGCCGAAGAAAAATATCAACGCCTTCTCTATCTGCCTTCAAACATTTAATGTCGACCACAGAGTAGAAGCAATAATAATTCTAGACAGATGACAGTAACCCCACTCAGCACACACAGTTCCTACTCAATACTAATTCAGTAATTTCTTCCACTTACTTTTTTTAAAAAAAATGGTATAATTGATAATTTCTAATTATGTATAAAAACAGAAATGAGAAACTAAATCCTCATCCATCATACTGATTCTCATATCTGGATAAATACCTTGGAGATTGAGGAGGAAAAATAAAATTTTATATATCTGAAACTGAAATCCTGATCAACACAAATTAAACCGCCTATTCACGTACAAGAATCCGCAGAAATAGTAAGAGTCACGCAGATGGAATATTATTCGTAGTGGTGCAGAATAAAGGGAGATCAGAAATCAACACAACTCGCTAGTAGGATTAACAAACCAGCATAAAACCCTAAGCCGAATCTGTTGTTCGTTGCGGAAACGCCGTCGTTTTTCTCGCTCCCGGTGGTGGTGTTTTCCGCCGCGGTTGTTGACGTCGACACCGACAAAGTGGATTTCGCGTTGAGATTCGCCGGAGCGAACTCGTGCTTGTCCGGTCTCCCGTCGGTCACCGACGACCCGACCTGCCACACCTGGTTCAGCTTGTCCGGCTTCCCCGGCACCTTCACCGACGCGAGGATCGTGATGGCACCGTCAGATTCGACGGCGCTCAGGTCCCAAACGTCGAACGAGAGCTTCGATTCGGTGATTGCTTTGTAGGAGGTGAGGTTATAGGTCTTGGCGACGACGGTGTCGTTTGATTTGAAGGCGATGATAGCCTGGGCGCCTAACATGCCTAGGCCGGTCGGATTTATAGCCCAGGAGACCCAGCCACCGGACTTAGCCGGAGTAGCGACGTAGGCGATGGAGAGCGAGTTATTGGTGGCATTATAAGAGTAATGAAGGGTAGCGCCCAAACTCGAGAGATCCGTACAGTTGGAGAATGCCTTTTTATCAGGAAGCTTCTGAGACTTACAGGTGAGAGAATGAACAGATGAGAAAGATAACGCAAAGAAAATCGCAGAGACAGCAAAGATGAGAGAAGAAAACGAAGAAGAACAAGGAGCCATTGAAGGAGAGAACAAGAAAATAACAAAGGCGGAAACCGTGAACGTGCAGAATAGTCGAGGCTATTATCTCCCCTTTCATGGTGGTGGACACATATATATGGTGGGATAGTGAGAGTGAGGCCGGCACGCGCGATGGGGAGGGAGTGACCCGGTGCATCGTTCGCGCGATTGAGACCTAAGGTGTGTTTGGTTCTTAATTTATTAAAAATTTATTTGATAAAAATTTATTTAATAAAAATTAATTATTATAATAAAATTTATATTTAAATATATTTTTTTAAAAATTAATTTTATACACTAAAAGTTATTTAAATTATAATAATAAAATGTGTTTTTGAACGTACATTTATAAAAAAAATATTAATTTATAATAATTTATAATTTTTATTATATAAATATAATATATTTAAAATATTTAAAAAATATGATAAAAATTTTAAATAACATAACATTTTATTTATAATATTAAAACTTAATCTCTAATCATTTATAATTTTTAAATTTGTAATTTTAAAACAATATGATAAAGATTTGTTATTTACATTACACATTAATATTAAAAATTAATATAATTAATTATTTAATTTATAATACTAAAAAATTAATATTTAATTATTATTATTATTATTAAAATGATAATTTTATTTTTAATAAATTAATTATTTTTTAAATAAAAAAATAAGAGATTAAATTTAGAATATTATAATCAAATAACATCTTACTTTTTAAATTTACTTTTTAAAAATTTTATTATTTTAAGTTGGTCAAAAATATAATTAACAATATTTAAAAAAAATTCAAATAAATCGTTGGTAATTTAGTCGGTGAACCATTTTTTAAGCCTAGACTTCACGTGAGAATCTGTTGAGTGATAGTACAATACTTAGGAAATTTGAAATCTTAAACCTATTTTTACTTTTTTTTTTCTTTTTACTGTTTTAGCCTTCAACGGTCACTGACTTGGATGTCGGCTACGCGCACCCAATATATGTTTTTTTATGAATAATGATATTCTTTAAAAAATTTGTTGTCGTGATCCGTAAATGTTGTTTTAATATTTTAATTTTAATATACATAATTGAGCGGAAAATGTGGATTGATAAGATCACATAAAATACGTTATTCCATTTGGGGCATCAATGAATGAAATTTGCATTAGTTTTTTTTTTCTTTTTGCCAATCAAATTTGTTTTAGATGATTTGTTAACCAAAAAATCAATATAATACATTATTGATTAATGAATAATTAACTAGCAAAATTTGACATAATATTCATGAAAGCAGAGAGCATTAAATTTAAAAAAAATCAGCCTCGAAGAATTTAATTACAATTTCTTAAATAATAAGAAAGTAATGAAAATTATATTTAAAATTGAATGAATTAATGCAGAAGATCAAAAGAGGATCCTTCTGGATTGTCATTCATATATACATTGAATTCTTTAGTCCGTGATTCTATTGCCATCTTGCGGCCTATTCAAGGTACCTGTATAATAGAGTTCATTGCAATATTAAAATGCTGCAAAGCAAGAAAGCTTTATGTTTACTTATTTAGTGTCATAGTCAAAATTCGCAAAGAAATATTGTATTTGATGTTGTAATTAATGACATAATTAAAGCAAAACCCCAAATAAAAGTAAAATAAAGAGCCTCTAGAGTGGGTATTATAAAAAGTCACATGCAAGAAGAATCTCACTAGAAAGGTAGGGGAATTTTTGGGGATGAAAGAAATATAATTAAATAAATTTAAGTATGGCTGGTGGCAATGTGAGCCAGGGTACTCACGTGTGAAATAAAACTTAGAAGAGAAAATACAACTTTTAGTGTCTGTACTTTCAGCTTGTATGTTAGCCCCTTGAGTTTTATTCTTCTACAATGTTAGTTATTATATTTTTAAATATGATTATAAGGGTTTAAAGTTGGCTAACACACACACACATATTATGTTACTGCTTTTTATGCTTGTTTGTTAAAATTATAATGAGTGGTAAAAAAAAACAATTAAAAAGAACATTAAATTTAAATCTTTAAACACGTAAATGATTAAGCTTTAAAAAAAAGACGATGCGATAGTAGGGGTGCGTAAATAAAAAAATTTGCAGTTATTTTAATCTCATAATATTCAACTCCTTATAATTTTACCGACTTAACAAAATAATTAATAAAGTTATATACATATTAATAGACGTCAAAGGCAGATAAAACTTGAGGGGTTAGGAGTAACAAAAAAGCATAAAAACTAATATTAAAATGCACTAAAAATATATGGACTAACAATTATATTTTTTAATTTAAAATAATACCAAAATATATTACAACATGTTTGGAACATAACAATACAGAAATATTATATATATATATATATATATATAATTGTGATGGAATTGAATTTGGACAAGATAAGGGACATCGGGACTCGGGGGGAAGGAATCTGGAAAGCATGCACTGTATGGAAGTTATTATTTAATATTTATCAAGGAAAATAAAAAAGAACTAGGTAAAATTACATCTTCGAACCCTGACTCACTTTTTTAAAAGAAAATCTTAAAATAAATTAGTGATTGCTTAAAAAACGTCTCAATATTAAAATTCACACTTTTTAAATATTATTTAGTTTATGAAAATCACATTAGATTTTCGACTCCAATTATTTCTAATTAAACAAGCCAAATTATGTAGGTAAAAAAAAAACTCTCCTAAAAATATTTTTTTCATGCATAACAATTAAAAACAATCATTCATCCACTCCAATCATATGTTTTTGGTAAAATTTGTAATAATTTCAAATCTTAAAGACAAGGATAGTGCCTGTGTTTGGATAGTACTATTCTATTAAAAAATATAAAATATTTTTAATTAAATTTTTCTTTTCAACAAATTAATTAATCATTTTCAAACTAACACTATTTTTTTATATTTACTCTTATTTTATAAAATATTTCACTTAAAAATAAATATAAAATAATTTATTTATTAAGAATATTTTAAAAAAATACTAATTATACTTAAAAATATTAAAAAAGCTTAATATTTTTAACATTTGATATTTCAAAAGATAATTTATATTTTTAAATGAAGGAACTAGTGCTCAAATTTCAAATGTACTTTTATGTGGGACAACTCAGCCAACGTGAGAAGCAAAAAAATTGAAGCTTTTCCCTAGACACATCCGAAATGGAAAAATAAATAGGCCAACACTTCTATAGATGTTTGAATTTAAAAAGTTTGGATGCCTATCATTATATGTTTGGTTCAACATGTAAATAAATTACATTGACCTAATTAAAAATTTTGAGTTTGAGTTTTGAAAATGAAAGATCATTAATATTAAAGTTTCAGCTCAAAAGGATTCCATCCTAATAGCTTTAACCCTCAAAGTCCTCTTAACCTAGCGTGCCCTAGATACGAAATACTTACATATAAAGAAAAAGTTGGGTAGTTAAATGTGAATTTTGAAAAGAGCACGTGGAGGGATAGAAAAGTGTGGAGGCGAGAGAGGGTTGGATTACTTTTGTTTTTATTCCGTTTGGGGCGGGACTCAATATCCAACTACTTTTTTTGTTGGTCCAAAAAAAAAATATATCCTACTTCTTTTAGCTTTACAACGTCATTGCCTTTTTCCTTTCTTTTTTTTTTCATTTTACTTATTTATTTATGTTTGTAAATACTGCATTTTCTGTCTGCATGTTTGTATTCCCTTATTTTTTGAGTTTTTAAATTTATGTCTTTCGTAAAGTTTGGACAGATTCGGACGAAATGACATAAAATGAGAAAAAAGCTTAGCTTGCAACTGTATTTTCACTTTTTATGTATATTCAAAATGACTTTTCTTCTCTTGTCCTTTTTTTTTTTTTTTACACCTTAATAATGGCTTTTCCACCATTTGCTTTTTGGAACAGTCTTAGGTCTCGATATGTAGGACTCTTGGGTGCACAAAATGGCAAAAACTGAGTAATTCTATTTCCGAAGTGTTACTGTGATGGCTTTCTTCAATTACAAAAAGGAAAAAAACGAAAAAAAAAAATAATAATAGAATATTTTTAAAATATATAAATGATAATTTCATTTCTTAAAATATAATAATTTTTTTAATTTTTTAAAAACTTTTCTATCATTAATAAATTTATATAAATTATCAAATTATTCCTGTTGAAAATAAATAATTTGTAAGTTTTATTTAAATATTTATAACTTTTTTTTATATTAGTAATAATACAACAGCAAATAAAAAATTTAACAATACAGCAACAAATAAATGATTTAACAGCAAATCATTTATTCTCAACAAGAATAATTTGATAATTTATATAAATTTATTAATGACAGAAAAAGTTTCTAAAAACTTTAGGAGAATTATGATATTTTAAGAGATTAAATTATTATTTATATATTTTATAGAGATTTTATTATTATTTAAAAAAAGAAATTGCCTTAAAATCTCTCCTTAAGGTCTAAAATTTTACATACCGATGATTCATTAAAAATGTGTAGAAAAAATTAATCATGATTTGAATTATGTGCTTTAGACTCGATTTTAATTTAATTTTCAAACTTTGACGTGATACAACTTAATTTCTATGATTTAGTTCAGTTGTGGTGCATTTCATCATAATTTTTAACCTAATACAAATTAGTTCTTATAATTTTAACAATTTAAAACATTAGTCCTTAAAGATTAATAATAGCTTTAGTTTTTATAATTTTATCTTTTAAAATGTAAGGACCAACATTCTAAAATAGATATAACTGTAAAGAACTGAATTGTTAGAGTCAAAATTTAATAATTATGTTTTAATTGAGTCTAAATTATAAGAATTAAATTGTATCAAATAAAATTTTAGGGATTAAATTTTAGTGGAGTCAAAAGTATAGTGATCAAGTGATTAATTTCTTAAGATTATACTACTACCCATCTTCTTAAATTTGTTAAACGTGTGTGTATTATTCTTTTCTATCGATATATATTATTCTTAAAACGTACTCTCAATGTTAGAAAATATAAGACATTTTTGAGGAGTTGAATATTAAAAAATGTAAGATATTTTTAATCTTTTAAATTGTAATTATTGCTTT